GTTGAGGAAAGGCCTTTTTCCTGCAAAAAAAAAAAGATCCTGAGAAAATAGACTGTATGTTTCTTTTTAGAGTTATATAAACAATATTCAGTAGTTTAAATTATTCTGTCAAAAAAGTATAATTTTTCTACACTGAGTATAACAATGGAGGAAATACCTGAAGCATCCTGATCGCTATCTAATGGCTGGCATGTGAGTGCATGTGATAAATCTCTCTTCCTCAATGCTGGTGGATGGGACCTGGACCAAAATAAAAAGTTAAAGGCACACGTGATCCAGATCCAGATTGCAGATACGGGGCCACAGCTGAGGCCACATCGTGGATTATGATGGTGGATCGCGAATCAGAGATCGTGATGACAGATCGTGGACTTTGTTTAAATAATAATAATATGTAACTCCTCAATTCATTTGTCATTGCTGTTCCCTCCTTCTCTTTCAGACATTTTCTTATATATAAATACTATAAACACTGACACGCTTCTCCATTTTATTACAGTTTCTTCTACTCTTGAAAATACAGTTATTCTTCTGATGTTCTCAGTTATACGTGGCATCCATTGCACTTCTCTCCGTCCTGGGAGAGGGATCCCCCACGTGTGGCTCTCTTTAAGGTTTCTGCTATTCTTAGGGGGGGTAGTTTTTCTTTACTCTTGTTGAGGGCTAAGGACAAAGGATGTTAGACCTTGTTAAACCCTATATATGAGACAAATTGTAATTTTGGAATATTTGCTGTACAAATAAAATTTGATTGATTGATTGACTGACACGTCAAACTCGTTTAAAAAAACGTGGTGAAACATCACGACTGACAGCTGAGACTGTTTCGTGATTGGTCAAGCGTGTGCATCACAAATGATTTATTTTCTGGACAATAGGTGGAAACTGAGCAGGTCATCCATCTTTATATACAGTCTGTGGTTGCAGCTATCATAGTCTATGGGGGCCTTGCATTTCTGGTACTGTATGAGTGCTGTGGCCAAATGCAGATAAAAGCCATCATCACTCTATTTCCTGCACAGCAGTTTTAGCAAAAGCAAAGTAATTAAAGCATTTGATTGTAAAATAATGCACAGAGCATTACTAATTGATGAGGTCTAATTGTGTGGGAATTATCCAAGGGTTTTTAATTTAAACTCACTGATTGGCAGGCCCAGTTTGAAACAACGCACACCAGGTTGCAACTTTCTTTTGCTCTAAAAGGTATGAAACCTTGATTTACGTCACACATCTTCTTTGAAAAGAACTCATGACTGCTTTTAATTGTAGAAATGAAAGCGCAACATTGAACTATTTGGATCAATAACTGCGTATTAGTCACTAGCCGGCATGTATTCTATTCATTGTGACTAAATACATTCAAGCGTTGCACTGAAGGTTTTCCATTGTGCAGTAGAAAAAAAGGTAATTCAATGCTCAGCTGTATATGCACAGACTCACTAATGTCTCCTGTAGCTCAGAGCTTGATAATGAAAGAGCCCCGAATCACAGCACAGAGAGATAAAGTGTCCAGCGCACGTGGCTTCACCAGGATTTTCGTCTTAATGTATTTAACTGTGTCTGCGCTGAATATCAAAAGGCGTCTCTCGCACGAGCTCTGCACGCCGCCTCTCTTTTGATGCACTGCATCACTTTGAGAGAGTTACAACCTGAAGTAATTTAGGCCTTCTCCCTTGGAAAATCCTTGCGGTGTGTCCTTGAATGCAGAGCCCCCGGTGCGAGCAGCCGCAAAGCTCTCATTTGTCATCTGGATTGTGTCTCAGTTCCCCTCTCAGTGTTTCGCTTGTTTGGGACAGAAAGGAAGAGATAGCGCGAGGGCTGTTTTATCGCTCGATATTCCTTTGCTTTTAATAAGAAAAATAGAGTTTGTGTGACTTTGTTTCCATTCCAGAGAGCAACACTTCCCGTGGGAGCTGTGCGAATTCCCCAGCGTGTGACATGACCTCACCCTGAAAAAAATGTCACGTAAAAGTCAGGAATTAAGTCTTCAAAAACACAAGTCGCTCAATGCACGGCTCCTATTAATCAGATTATATTTAATGTGGCATATTTTGAATTCAAGGATAAGTCATGTTCTGGCACATTCAGCTGTAACTCCACATGAATGTGTTCTACAATGATTCTTTTTCATAGAAATATTAAGTGATGCTGTTGCCTGAATGTAAAAGAAATGCTGATGATGGCTTTCAAGTCAAATACAGTGCCTTCACCTTGTTTCTTCTTCCTCCACACCTTTCAGAGTTGACTCAACAGAGCGAAATTCCATCCACTTACAAAAACCACAGGGTGAATGGAGCCGACGTTTTTGTTTCCAATGTCAAGAAGCAGCTTTGATGCACAAATACAGGAATGTTATTTTTATTGACGTCCGCAGCAGCCATAGGCAGCTCTCGCTTTGGCTGTTTTGTACAAACTAGCAGCCAACGCTGAAAGAATAAAGGGATGGTGGCTTCTTTCATTCCCTCCATCTTTTTTAAAGAGGAGCAGGTACAAAGAATATTCCTCAGCAAACGCAAAATAACATTCATTCATAACAGTTTGTTGGTACTTAGAGCTGGATATTGTTTTGACAAGGCCATATTTAATGTAAAGCAGTAAAATGCAGGACGGATAAATGCTTAAAGTAAACTTCATATTATTATTATTAAGTCAGTCTTAAATCTTTTGTAGCCGCTCTCCTGATGTTTCACTTCAGCAGAGTCCTTGAAGGGTCACAAATGGATTTTTTTTGAGGATTACTTTTGCATTCCCTCGCAACATGTTTTGCATTATCTCACAATTGTCTATTTTCGGGTTACCTCGCAACACTTTTGCATTCTCCTGCAATACTTCTACATGATCTTGCAATACTTGTGCGTTCTCTTGCAGTACTTTTGCTTTTACTTCACAATACTTTCGTTATTCTTTTCCTTCGGAGCCAATTTGCAGCCATTTTGCACTCACCTTCTCCCAGTGCAACTTGCGGTAGGGATCAGCTAATTGAAGTATGCTCTTATAGTGCTACAGTATAGGAAACTAAGTAAACTAAGATTAAACGTAATAACAGGCACCTTCCAAGTAATCTGGCTCTGCTGCTTCCTTTGTGTGTGATGTAGTATCGCAGCTGGGCCTGCGGTCAGTGCAACAGAGGTCAAACTCAAACAAGACGACAGTGCGACACTACTTTACTTTAATCATATCATTGTTCTAGATGACAGTTCGTCAGAATTCGGTAAACACACACACATACACCTGCTGCTTCCCGTCCCTCCTCTGCTTTGACAGGCGACGAGGGACGGGCCTCTAATGGGAGAGTCTGAAATCAAGCAGATTAAGGAAGCAGTGGGGTGGATGGGAGAGGTTGTCCCTGCCAAACTGCTCTCTGCTGGATTTCCCATGCGGCTAAGCATCTGTGGAGAGCTCCACTCCACTCGCATGTTGGCAAAATTTCAGAATTGATAATTGCGAGCGTGGAATTTCTGCATGCACACTGGAGAGAAGAAACTTCGCGGGGAGATTTCTTTCCCAGACTTCCCACAACTTCTGTCATAGTTGGGATTAAGGTGTGTGCGGTATCATGGGATTCTCTGCAAACGGAAAGATTAGAGGAGGAATATTACCTTAAGACTTATACTCTGCTATCTGTTCCTGTGGCGTGTGACTGTGTTTGCACACATTTGCTGTTTGTCTAACTTCCTGTGTAAAAAAAAATCAATCACCTGTTAGCAGACTATAAAGCTACCGTGCAGCAAATTGGAGGAGAGGATGACTCCTTTCTGCATCTCTCCAATCCAAATGAGACCCACTGTTTGATGTGCAGACTTCCTTTGAGCCCCTGTGGGCGATGAAGTTGAAGTTTGTTCCCCTTGTTAACAGAGGCCCTTGCAGCCAGGCTCCAACAGGCAGCCCGCTGTTTCCCTCCCTCCCTCACGTGGGAGGAGGGAGACGTCTGAGAAACATTATCTGCTGACTTCAAATGAGCACTGAAGAGGGGGCAGCTTTGTTAAGGAAACACCGCAGCTCCTCCGTGCCATTCAGAATTGTTTTAATTTCTCCTTTGAGCAGAGCTCCTCCATCTCTCTGTTGTTTTTTTAATCATTAAAGCTCCTCAACTGTTTCATGGAAGGAAGGCCAGATTTAGATGCAGCACAGTTACCATAAAAAAAAGCGAGAGTAATCTAGGTTTAGGAATGACCTTGATGAAAATAGCTCCCTGTCCTCGGGAAAAAAAATGAGCTTCACTGCCTTCAACAGCGAAAAAAAAATTAAAAGCTATTAACGTTGTGCCTTTGCGGAGTTGTCAGCGTTTATCAAACGGCTGCACCAGACTAAAAAGACTACAATTACAATGCAGGGGATTAGAATGAAATGTTCACCCAGTATCAGGATCTTGTGACTTTATCGTTTCTCGAGAGGGGTCAGCCTTATTCGTCACCTCATAGAGAAACCAAGGAAGCTGAAAATGAGAGAAGTTCAGAACAATTTTTCATTTCACAGTTTGTACAAGGATCCCTGGGCTAATTGGTGGCCTCTGCACAAGAATAGATATTATAAACTGATGTTTGCTGCTTTGCAAAAATAAATACATTTTAAAGTTCTTTTACACAGAAAAGAATGAGATGTATCATTTTAATGACCTTAGCTTTATGATAGATGATTAATTCATACCTTAAAATATTTCTGATTGTGAGTGTAAGCGATGTTGTCCTACATAAATAATTAAGATATTTAGAAGCCACAGTATCCCTCGATGTTTCATAACACTGGATACTGTAATTACTCTTAATTATTCTCTGCAGCGCCTGACTGTACTTTTTGGCTCTTTCATGCACTTTTGGGTTGAAGCATCATCATGAATTCTCAACAGGCACATTCACGGATAAATATTGCACCAAATTATTACCTCTGGTAGTAGCTACAGCTCCAAATCCAATATCATCCTGGAGGATATCCACTTATGAGCTGGAGAGGCACAAATGAAAACCACACAAACCACAGCGTCTCACTCTCTTCTACCAGGACATGTTTATTTACAGCGGCAAATGACAGGAGTCACAAGTACTTACAGAGAGACATCACTAGATCCCACCTCCTGCACAAAGCAAACTCAGCGGGGACAGTCCGAGGGGATGCAGGGGGCATGGGTGGGGGGGACAAAAAGGACACATACTGTACACTGAGCTCAAACACACCTGTATTACCCCTTTACAGAGAAAAGGCATGGTGGAGGAGACAGAGAGGGAGGGGACAGGGGAGGGGGGTGGTTAGGGCGAAGGGGAAAGGGGGGATTTAGACTCATATTCAAATACAAAAGAACATGTACAAATCGTATAGCCTCCAGGCACTGTGCTCCCATATTTACAGTCATCGTAACAGGCAGCGGAACCACTCCATGGCAGGACCATTGGTTTGAGATATGCAGGTACAAGGGCTCACTGTGAGAAAACAAAGCCAGCGCTACGGGGGCCGAGAAAAAAACCAATGGATTCAAGAGAGGCAGGGAGCAGTGGGGCTTGCAGACACGTGTGCAGAGTGCTGCATCCTGGGGAATTAATCATTGTCAAGAAGTACCTAATCAGGTTTTACCCATCAGAGTGCACTCCAAAACGCCACGTGAGGGCTCGCGACATTTGAGTAGACTGTCGTCGCAAGCGCCGCACATGGATATTCACACTCGGCATGTTTACATATGACTCGCAGGGCCTCAGGTAGCTGGAAAAGTGTAGAATATAAATAAATAATTAACAAAATCAACAGGTGAATTATAGCAAAAGTATTATAGCGAGATGTTGGGATTTTAACTATTACTAATTGAGACTCTTACTGTGAAAAGTGGGCACACACACACTCAGTCTGACTTACAGTACGTGCAGATACATTCAACAGACATACATGCGACCTGATTCATTCAGACAAGTGCATTCAACTACTCACGCATGTATGCACACTACATGGCGGTAAAACCAGATTGAATTCACAGCGTCAACCTGACATATAGTTGCGCTAGGTAGTTAAGCATGTCTGTTTCTGTCCAGTGTTGGCGACTACGACCCACAGTCTTACGATATTTCCAGGAATTCACAGCATCACGCTAAAATTCATTCTGTGGCAGCGAAAGAGAAAAGAAGCAGCGACGTGACAATCAAAAGTTCCTTTGATGGTTGACAGTGCTGCAGCGGCATTGGGCCCACTAGTGTGGAGGAGAAAGAAAAAGAAAGAAGGCACACTAATGCCTCCATTACAATGCTGTTAAATTTCTTAAGGGAAAGTAAATATTAAAAAGCAAATATTACACCATCACTTCTGACCAAAACACAACATATGCAGGACATCCACAGCTTTTCGTGTGGGCAGTGTTCACAAAATTAAAGAAAAAAGAGCCTGCTGCATTTTGAACAAAAAACAAGACATCCTTTAGAGTATATTTACATAAAAGCTTTGTAAAATATTCTTTTTTTTCCACCTATGTACAACACGTGACAATATCAGAGAGAACAGCGATCAGACCAAGAACAGAAAATACAATGATTTAATCATCAACGTAAATATGTTGACTTATTTCCCATGAGGATACTCTGCTTTTCTTTGCCTTTACATATAGAAACTATGACGCGACATCATTCAGAGTAATGGTGACGTATCTCGGCATGAAACCATCTTTTTTTTCCAAGTTGTGTACCAAAGTGCACGTTGGCTGGCAGTTCAGTTAAACCCTCTGTAAGCAGATGAACACACACGAGTAAAACACATGTTGGAGAATGTAACAGTTGAAGCGCATCAACAATATTTTGTGTTCAATACAAAAGGCTGACATTAATGCACATGTGCTGTTTTACAGGCTGCAACGCACTCTTTCTATTTGCCTAGATTTCAATTATTTGCCTAGACAAAACAAACTTTAATCCACAACAGCCCCTTTTTCAGACGACATTAATCATCAGATAAAGCCCAGATTCTTCTTAATAATTCACGACAAAGACACATTTTAAATGTTCCAAATGGCCCCTACAAGTTAAGCCTCGAATCTCGTTAGCAGCGCTTCTCCTTTTGTTTTTGAAGCCAGCTAGCCTGAAACACGACGCTACCCCTTGTATGTGCCTCTCATTAAACAGAGAATTAGCTATTTGGCTATTAGAAAAAAAAAAAGGTTGCTGAAGTGAGACGCTCAGGCGCAGGGACAGGACATTGGGTTTAAATCATCGTTATATCCCGCAGCTATTGCTCCAACAGACAAAAAGCGAGAGCATTAGGGGCGTGAGCTTCGGGGGCAGAATAGCATCCGCTTGCATTCGTGATCGCGTGAGGGGCCTGAGAAGTTGTTGTGGTGGGGTGGGCTGACGACGACAGAGGCATCGCCATTTAATGACATGACTGTCATAAAAAAAGGGAAAAGAATGGAAAGAAGAATCAGAATTTAAAAAAACATTAAAACACATGGGCAAAAAGTGAGACGAGCAAAAAAACCAATCTACAATCATTGATCAACAAGAGCCTTCCACTGACGCCATGTTTACAAGAACATGATACATTTATCACTCAGGGTGTCTAAAAGGTTGACCCTTTCCTCCTTTCTATTTTCTCTTTATTATTTGTATTTACACATGCCTTTCATTCAGGGCATCGTTATAAACAGATATGGTATTTTACTCCACTATTTTCCAGTGATGTAGTTTGTTTGGGTTTTGGTCTCGTGATCCGAATGTTCTTTTGGTGGCGAGGGGACCGACCCGTCTCCTCCTCTCTTCTCTTTTATTCTTACGCCTTGCTGTCGTCAAGTTTTGTGTGGAGGCTGTTGTCACTGTGCACTTTGATTTCAATCGTATCCGGCTTGAGAGACTCTTTCCCATTTTCTTCCTTCAACGGTAGCTTCCTGCCGGAGGGGAGGGGGAGAGAGAGAGAGAGAGAGAGAGAGGAAGGAGACGACGAACTGGATGAACAAAAGCAGATGTGAGATTTGCTGCAGTTTGGTTATTACAGGGACATAGAATTTGTGGGAACAGACACAGATGTGAGAGTGATCACCCAGTGGATGTTTTTGTATGAAGCAGACACACAGTAAATGCTATAACTACAGAGGGCAGCCTTGATATTTTGATATATATACTTAAAATATATTGGAGTACTTTCAAGGCCACCAGCTACCACCTTTTAAACCTTTGTGTGGTTGAAGGAGGTGCCCCACCGTCAGGTTTAATAATGAGGAGTTCAATTGAAGTGAAAAGGCAGCAGGGATATTAGATATAAAAGCTTCTGCAGGGCTCCACAAAGGAATAAAATACATTGTGGGCTCTATTGAAAGAGTCACAGGGTGTGGTTCAGGAGGTGGAGAGAGTTGTTGCAAAATAGCATTCATACAATAAATAAAACAGCGTTGAGACACAGAAAAAGTTATTTGCGACAGTGATTTTCACTGGCAACATATTTCATTTAACTTACGACAATATTATATTCAGCATCTTGAGCAAATGTTTTTATGACATTTTATGTCAAAGCACTTGGTCTTTGACATAAAGAGGGGGAGCTCTTGGTCTTAGGTAAATACTGAAAAAGAATTTGGACATATTTCCCATCAATATTGCCAGGAAATGTCCGAGGAAATTATCAAAATCATTTGTCTGACACTATGTAGATGAAGCGTGACACAAATTTATTGGAGAATCTAAAACCTTAAAGTGGCGCTACAGGGATTCTACTTAGAGATCAGTGTATAAATCCACTCAGTTTCTAAAAAGAGCTGTTTTATTGACTTCTTTCAAATTCTCAAGTCTAAGAAAATAACTTTGATAATGTCTCATTGACGTCATCAGTCAGATTAATAGGACGTGTCGACCTGAATAACATCACCTCAGAGCTGTCGCGTCTCCCACTTGCTTTTAAATTTGATTCATTTCAAGGGAGTGAAAAAAGAAAGTCCATGCATGTGTTATTAAGCAGGAGCTATTTGATTGTCCGACTTTCTCCTGTTCATCTCATCTTACACGTGTTTTGCTTTGGAAAATTACGCAGATAGACTTCGCAGCCTTATCTTTATGTTAATGTGGTCGCATGATGAAAATCTAACGAGCCGGTGTTCCAACTAATGTGATGTACGAGAGCTTTAAACTGCATTTGGCACCAAAAGACACTTTATCCTGATAGAGTTAATACAGCGACTGGGTGAAAGTCAGAGTAGAATAATACGGTGACATTGTATGATTTAAATCGTGTCAATTTGTAATATGTATTGCTTTTTTATTTTAATTTCTCTTGCAGTCATGCTGCTTTTGGACATTTTAAATGCCCCCATATTAGATAATGGCTATGAAAAACGAGTCTCTTTAAATCCTCTGAGCTATTGCAGGTGGTAGAGACATCTCGATATTTCATATTATTGCGTATTAAAGCATTTGTTCATGAGCATGACTGACAGTTAGTAGAATAAATCAACATGTTCTGTTTCATTTGTCAACGCCACTAAAATACAAAGGCCTTGCCATTTTTGTCCGGACTCATATGACGTCCCTGTGACCTTTGACCACTGAGATCTATTCAGTTTGGCTTTGAGTTTACGAGACAACTGGTCAAAAGCAATTATCTGGAGACAGAATTGAGATGTGATCCCACTTAAGTGGCCAAAAACACTTTTGCGAGGCCACCTTGATCTTTGACCTCCCAAAAATATAATAAGGTCATACTTGGGCGTTTCCTTATACATCACGTTCACAAGAGAATTAGTTCACAGTGACCTTGACCCCCAAAATCTGTTCACTTTATCAATTGAAAATTTGCAACAAATTTGAAGAAATTCCCTCCAGGTCTTCTATAGATATTGTGTTCAAAATAATAATATGTATGATCTGCCTCTTCTACTTTTCTTCGTTTCAGTTTTGAAAATAAAGCTCTGTGCTGAAATTTCCACAAGGGACGTCTCACAGCAATTTGTCCTCCAACAAAAACCCACAGCGAACTATAAACACCGAAGTGCAAAATATGAGCTGCATCCGGATTTGCACATCAAAGCTGCAAGATCCTTTCTTCTATAGTGCAGCTGTTGGGATCAATGTAGATTAATAGAGGAAATCAATAAAGAGCATGAGCTTTTACCTGCTTTCACTTCATCAGTGCACTCTCGCTTCCTGAGGTTCACAGGGTAATGCTGCTTCTGATTTTGTTCTAAAAACGTAAACCTTCCATCCACATTCTTCTCCATTAAACACAAAACTGAACGGTCTCAAATCAGCAATTAGAGCAAACTTTCGTCATTTAGATGAGTTATTAAGTGTTTAGGGTCCTTAACTTTCAATTTTTTCGCAGTTTAATCAAATATTAGATCAAATATTAATCAACCAGTAAAAGCAAAGGCTATGATTCATGTGATAAAGGTTTGCTCATTTAATTCACTGATTATATCGTCATTATGTCTTCATGTAAAGGCATCATTTCACTGGCCATTGGCGGTGCCACTGCTGTCTCACAATGTTGAGCTTTTATGGTAGAAAATAAACTATATCGGAATAAAATCACCTCCAAACAGCCACATTCAAGATGTTTGCAAACTCTGCGAGTGAGATCGTGACCTGAGCAGCAGCTCTGCCTGAAACTGTACCTAATAAGCCCAAATATTGCAATTGGCAAGAGGGGGGTTCCCCTTTGGTTGATTGGTGGATGTTGAAGTTCCTGCACAGTGGAGCCAATTTCATGTCCCATTAGCCTCATGCAAACCCAGATTGGACTTATGTTGCGACAGCAGGGTTTTGTCAACATATAGAAAAATGGAGTCCTGACGCTGTTTAACTTTCTTTACAGGGGACATCAACTCAACATGATCACAAATGCACTTTCTGACAAAATGTCTTACTGCGGTTTCTTATTGAAAAGCACACTGGGGATTCGCAAAGGAAATGGGAGCTACAAGTTAATAACTTCAGTAAATGTATAATTGATGACGGTTTCCTGTTTCACTATGAGCTCTCCAGTTTCACGTTGGGGCGTTAAAGAGCAATGGAGAGTGAGGGAAATAAAATAAATTGACTATAGAGTGGAAAAACTATTTTTTAGGTTAATTGTAGGTTAAATTATTTTAATAATACTGGTATAAAGGTGGCTTATAAAACTCAGTAGAGTGGATACACAACAGTCCCCTATGAAAACACATTTAAATTCACTAGATCCGCCTCAGAAATGAATCAGCAGATAAATGTCTGATATTCCTCAGGTTCGAACAGATAGATGCTTCAGCAGCTGTTTCTTTACATATCAATACTGCTGTCTTGCGTCTGATGCGAATTCCCCGTGACAACAGAAGAGGGGAAATAACAAAACAGGAAAAATAGTCAGTAGAGTGAAAATGACGGACCCTGCTTGAGTTCGCTTGATGGATTGACGACTTGTCTCCGCCTCACACTGTGACTGCGGTGGACGAGACGGGTTCGATTTCACTCACATATCCAGCTTTGTTTCACTCTTTTCAATGAAGGCGTGAAGCTGTATTGCGTACCCTGCAAGAATAGACTCCTATTTCTCTGCGGCATTATTGTCTTTCCACGTGTACCCACCTCGACGAGACTCATCACACCAGCACATACACCACCTCATGTGTAGATACTGTACACACGCTCTCCCTCAGAACTTGCATTTAAAAAAAAACAAGGTCTGGCACACAAAGCGAAAAGGAAATGCCACTGGGTCTTGACAAGCCTCTTTGATTATATGGTGAGAGCCGGCAGCTGCGTGCACCTCATGGTGGGCTGGGAGATATCAGAGTCTGCGTGCAGATGTGTGTTTGTAATCTGTACACTTCTAAGTGACACCAAAGCACAGCAGGGGTGACTTGTTCTTTCCTCCGCTGACGTTAATTAAGCACGGGGATATCTACGGCGGGCCATAAAGGCTCACTACAATCCCTACTTCTCAAAGAGATAAATTAGGTGGCCCAGGGGCGCTTGTTTGCGCTCTTATCTAAATCTTTACTTTTACATTTATATTTTCCTTGGGCATATTATATCATAGCCGACACCTGAGATCTTACAGCAAGTGCAGGTCTTGATGAAGGACACAAGGACAAAGCTGCTGATGGAAACTGGCTGCCCACGTGAGGATTATACACCTTGTTGCCTCACATCATAGGAATCGGCTTGTTTGCATGGTCGTCTTTTCCAAGGCGGAACACACACCCCTGATGTTTTTCATCCCTCATTTACAAACTCAGGTGTTCTCACTCCACTCTGAAGGTGGCTGCTAGAATGACTGACCAAAGTACTTCAAATCCATCCATTGTTATTAATTGACTGTGACTTTAATGCCCCCTCTTTCTGTGACAAACACATTTCAACTCATTGTAAACTATACAAAAGAGACAAAGCAGCAACTTGGGTGAAGTTGAGGGCGGTGGTGTGATCATTTGTTTCTTGCAGATCTGATTGTTAAGGTTAAGGCGAGTAAACGCTAAAAAAGAAAATTCTCAACTAATAAAAACTGCCCCATATTTGTTGACACAATGTTTCAGCTTCAGGCGTTCTCGTCTGAACATTTTTCTGCACATGCAAGGATACACGTGTTTATCTCTGCAACTTTAAGTTACTCTAGTCTATTACAACTATAATGTAATGGATTACTAGATAGTGCTGTAGCCTACTGAGCATCCATGATAACTTCCAACTTTGCACACAGCAGTTATCACACATTGTTGACACATAACTCCTGTCGAGCAGCCACTAATGGTGTTTAGAACAAACCTGCCATCACCTCCCCTCGCTAAATTCTTCTTCTCAAAGTACCTATAAGGAACTAAAACTTCTCATTCATTTGAAAACACTGATATGTGATAAAATGCGGTAAGTGCAAATTTGATCAAGTAAAACCAAAACAGATTTCAAGATTATCTACAATACATCACAATACTGTTCTGACAGTAAACAGAGGAATCCTGGAGGCTGCAGCTTGTTTTATCACCAAGATCAGACTCAGTTAGTTACATCTTACATTCATAGGAGCTAGTTGTTTCCGAACATACTACAAGGAATAATGTTGTGTCTATAAACTGAAGATATAAGATGATTAAACAATAAATAATTCAGTGTTTTGGAGCTTTTCTCCCTGCAGGATGTCACAGCCTTAAAAATAAATCCAGCATTGTGTGTTTTACTTCCTGCCGTGAGTCATCAGAGTATTAAGGTGCTCAACAGTCTGTTCTCCTCCAAGTCAAATCTGTCACTGAGCCTCGACTCTCAGCCCGTACGTCTGAGAAAACTGTTCTACGGCACATCATCAGTGTGACGATGTGCGGTCCGAGCCTTTCTGAAGTTCGTAAAAATAGTTTCAGGGACACATCTGGATGAGGATCATTTGTCACCGGATAACTGACAACCTCAGCTCTGTCCTCAAGTGACGGCTGAACTTCTGTGTGACGCCGTCCCTCAGGTGTTTGCTGGGAGGTTAGCGAAAGGCCAGACAGGTGCAGGAATTTATTCCTGGATCACTGACTGACAAGACGGGACTGGATTCGCTGCTGTGACCGTCATCGGCAGTGAATATCAAGACAAACGCCTCCAGACAAGGCAGAGAAAAAGTGTGCACGGAACCAAACTTCTCCTGGAGGCTTCACAACATTTATTTATAGCATTTCGCTGACTGTTTGTTGCTTGAATATGAGCAAAAAGTTAAAAAGTGACTATAGAACTTTTTGCAATAAAACAGTAAAAAAACAGAAAGGAGCGATGGTCATCAGAGGCAAGAGCTTTTGTGTTTTTTCCCCATCTGTCCTCTGGGCCTGCTGACATCAAGAGCTTACACTTAACACTGAAAAACAAAAAGTAAGGACAGACTGAGGGCGTGGACTTTCCTGAGGCGGCTGCAGAGCCCAGCCTGTCCTGACTGATCTTGGACAATTTTGTATTAGAGAGACTGTTGCACATCCTTCATCTGTCAGCGCACGTATCCATCTCTGGCTAAGTTAAAACGGCAATAATGGGCAGGACATTTAACGTGTAACTGAGTTATTTATCTAGAATAGTGCACTGTTTTTAGTTAGAGATACAATTTAAAGAGGTTTCAACTAAATTGCAGTTGTTAAAATCAATATATGACATAAAGGGATCACATTTTAAGTTTGTTTTATTCACTAGCTATAGTTTGTTGAACGCTTTGCTAGTCTAATTTCCCTAAAGGTGGTATATAGATGATGGGATAGCTCCCCAAAATTGAATCCAAATCATCTCAGTCACCCCCTGGTGGCTTGTGATCAGACAGGACATGGAATGATCCGAAAAGTTAAAGTCCTGTCAATATTTCTCAAAGATGGTTTCTGTTACTTTAGGTAATAAACAAGTGTTTATTATTCAGTTAAGTTTGGTTTTGATTAGTTATTTTATGCAATAAACACACAAATTATGTAAAAAACACAAGATGGTGCCACTTGTATCCAGGATATTTTTGCACGGTGGGAGGAAGTCGTTGACTAAGAAACTAATTGTGGATTGGAGAAGCAACCAATTTCCAATTATTCCTATAAATAACACCTGAATGCTTGTGATGGCTACGCTTATTTGATGCTGTGGGAAAAGAGAGAAAAATCTGCCTGTTTCCGGTGCTGTTTCTATTTTAAGCATCGAAGTGAGCACAAAATGTTCTCTGGAACTGTGAAGTCACGTAGTTTTTATATTCTTCTTGTTAACTGGGTTTCATTCTGTGGAAAATAAAGGGTCAGGGTCACCGTCTCTGCAAGACTAGACCATCACTGTAAGAGCAGGGTTTGCTGGACCTCACAACATATTACACCTCTGCCCCCTCAGAATCACACAACTGAAATCTTACAATCGCAGTGGGCCTATTTGAGCTTTGTATTAGGCGTCATCTCATTCTGCTTACTTAGTGCCGTAACTCGCTTCACTGTCACTGTAGTGGTGCAAAAGAAAAAAATTCAGTTAATATACAACAGGGATCTTGTTTTTACTGTAATTACTCCCTACAGCTCTGAAACCAGTTAGTCTGCAGAGATGTGGAGATACAGAGATGCAAAGTTCAAGAGAATGAACTAGTCCTAAACATTCATTTTAGAAAAAATGACATTGAAGCAATGTGAAATCTTTTTATTAGATTAGATTTTTTTTTAAAGTTTGTCCATGGAGTTTAGGCTGTGCTATTAAAATTGTATTGATCTGCTTGTGTGTTCAGAATCTTTTGTCAATGGGTAAATGGATTTACAGTGCATTATGGGAAATGTAGGATGGAGTGTTTTTGGATTGGACACATTAGAGATTTGTATAAGTTTGCATATTTTGTCAGCCAATACAAATTGTAATGATAAACCTGATAATAACAAATCTACAATCTCCAGAATAATACTACATGATATTACTACGTGTCTGTGCTCTGTGTTTGTGATGCCACCGTGATAAATGACAAGGCCTCAGAGCCATGACGAGGTTGTAGCTTCAACATGGAGACTGTGGAGACCCGCGTGAGTTGCTGCTACCATGGCAGCAAACTCTAACATGAGACGGAGACGGATCGTGCATGTTGTGTGATCAGGCAGTCACTCAGCCCTCCAGCTCTCTGAGCTTAGTGACTCAGCAAGAGTCAACCCCCACCTTCCCTCTGCTCTCCTTCCTCCTTCTCCTCCTCTTCTTGGTCGGTATTCCAGAAAGGACAGCACAAGAATTTAAATTCATAGGGAAACGTGTGTTCTCTGTGTATTTGACAATAAAAATCTTTGAATCTTGAATCTTCTCTCGCCCCCCCCCCCGAAAACTGATTGGATTGGGATTTTCATGATTTATTTTTTTTGTCTGATGATAGGGATTAAGATTACGTGTTTGCTCACAGAAAACATCCACCGGCTCCAGCGAGATCACTCCCATTATTTGCATGCAAACATTATATGATCATAGAGGTAGAGACATTAAACCAAGACAGCACGTGATGTGAATTACAAACATGGTTACACTCTTACATCATTGATGTGCATGTACACACTATGCATGCAAAAGAAGGTGAACTCACGGCACAGTGGATGTAAAAGCACTGATGTTAGTGAATAAGACATAATCAGAGACATACTGTGGTTGAAAAGGTGGTTGGGCGGCTGTTGTAGGTGTACCTATAGTAAATGGTAAAAAGAAAACTCCTTTTCTAATTCACAGTCAATAAAGACTTTCACCGTGCTATTGATAAATATTTGAAAGGTGAGACTTCACAAAATAGACAAAGAAAAATAAACTTTTCTGTCCAAACTGGTGCTATAGCATTTGGAACTGAATTCTTGAAATCTGTTTAAATTTCTCTTTATCCATTAGGGTTTTATAATTCATTGTTGCACATTTACACAGCAAAAAAACAGATAAAAAAACAGTAGCCAATGTAGCATACACCCACAGCAGATGCACCCTCTGCAAGCATGAATGATATCATGACTGGGAAAAGAAGGAGTTAAAAGTTCCTGTTAAATAAAGAAAGAATAACTCACAGGTAGGCAGCCTTGCCCTCCTCCATTTCTTTGCCCTTGCCACTGGTGGCTGTTTTCTTGCTGCACAGTGTGCGCGTGATGCACATCAGCAGACCGCAGTGACGCAGGAAGAAGCAGCTGACGTCGACCAGCACGAGAAGCAGAAGGAGCACTCCCAGGCCGAGGCCCACCACCGCACCCAGCCCCAGGCCACTGAACAGGGATTCTGCTAAGGCAGTGAAATGCACACGCAGACAAACACACGCCCAACGCAGAGAAAACACTGTTAGCAATTTTGATTTATGCACTTGTTCTCTAAGACACACACAGGGTCAGATGTGGAGCAGCATCAATGGAGTCGGGGTTCATTAGCCGGCTCAAGGACGTATTCGTCTGCTCAGGATATATCTGACATCAGAGTGAAGGTCAGCCTCCCAACATACATCCAAATGTGGAGGGCGTAGCGGTACTGAGAGTGTGAGACCAAGATACCACGAAGCTGAACCAAACTCGAGCACACTCACGGCCCAAAAACTTTTCACCGTAGTTACTTTCAGAACCACACGAAGGTCAAAGAATTCCTCTGGAGCCAGCTGGAGAGGTTCGAACGCGTAGATAAGTCCTAATCCACTAACGCCCCGACTCCACACAGCCCTCAGTGGACAATCTCAATTATTACTCTGGATCCACCAAATTTCCTCCAAAACAAATCAATTTCAGACATAAAGTTCGTTTTTATATAGAGTAAATATAGGGAAAAGTTTTAAAGACTTAAATTGAGTAGGGAAAGGAGATCTGGGGTGCCTGAAAACAAGTCGAAAAAGTATAACCTTGTGAATTATCTTTAATATGAGATGATCTGCAGCTTCCTATCTGTTTAAGAGCCGATATATGAACCTATTGCCTGAAACTACATTAGCAAACATATTTTTTCATCCATTTTTGCCCTCAGGCTCTGCACATACCTTATCTATCATGAGCCAACTGTCAACAACTAGCTCCACAAGTGGAGAAGTTCATGCACACTGTTCGGCAACACTGCACTAAACTGCAGCTCAGGATAGCAAGTATCAGCATATCCACGCTCCCGCTTTCGCCTCTGTGTCCACCGGGTGCCTCGTATTCTGTGGCTTGCAGCGCTAAGCAGATTCATGTGGGAAGCAGAGTATCTTCATCTGAAAGTTGGAATCTCTCGGAGGGTCCGGCACACTGCTCCCTCAGCTCGGTCAGGAAAAGAGCAGCAGGGCCTGCGTTCAATTTGACGTAATGAGAAAATGAAGGCGCCCCAGTGAAGAGAGACTCCCGGTGGGCACGGCTGAATAGAGCGGCGCCCTGACGTGATCCTGAGGTTGAGCAAACTGAACACACACTGTAGGATCAGTGTTGACAGCTGGAGGTCTGACCTTGCCAGGAGTAATCAGCGATGGGAGAGTGAGGATGAATGAACCTTCCTACTTAAGAATACCCTCATATGGGCATCCAGTAGCCTGTGAGTTTAAAGGGTGAATCAGACAATGATATGAAGGTGTAAGCGCCCAGGACGGCTGAGTGCTGGAGTCTGGCACCTCAGAGTTTAGAGAAAAGCCGCAGGCTCAAGGGATGAATGCTGGCTTTCTCTCTCCTATGCAGCAAAACACAGTAAATATGAGTTGAATGCAGCAGTGTTCAGTCAGTAGCTCCAAATGTTAATCTAAATAGGCATATATGAGATAAAGGTACATTTGGGTAAAGTTTACATGCATCTACAGACTAGACTAGAATAAGAAAATGGTTTTTTTAACCTGTTACCAGATGCCTGATAACAATGTACCTCGAAAACAGGTTCCTAGTCTCCTTTAAAAGAAATCTCTTTAAATCTACAAACAATAAGTTCAATGATGATTATAGATACGGAACCAAAGTTAAAGAGGCACAAAGGTGGCAGAAATTCGGAACAGACCAAACACACCTAAGGAGGTACAGCTACAGAGGAAAAATAGGTCCCACGGGTGAAATAATGTATTTTATATGAGGTTAATTTCAAAAGGTAAGCAGTTGTAGCCTCACTGAACTTTTTTCTCGTCTCTTAAGGGCAGTCTGTGTGTTTCAGAATCCCCTTAATGTCCAAATGTATTTCTAAATGGTAAGAATGGACAGTGAATTTCATTTATGGGCCCTGAGAAAGAAAGAAAAAAGAAAAATGTCACATTAATTGAAGAAATGGGACATTATTGGGGACCACTTACTCAAAAATGCATCTGTTTTTAATAATGTTTTCCATGTAATAAACACGGATCAATACAGTCATAATAATGATCACTATACAGTTTGTGATCTGTCATGTAAATCATCTGGTAATGATAGAATTGATGTAATTCTCATTATACTTTGACAAACGTTTTAAAATAAAGATCCCAGATATTATAACAAAAAGCATACTGGGGCTGCTGTGGCTAAGGGGGCAGAGCGGATCATCCACTAACCATAAAGTCTGCGGTTTGATCCCAGTCTTTGAGCATTTACTGAATTCTAAATTTCATCTGCCAGCAGTGAGTGATTGAAAGAGAAAGTACTGCACATAGATGGTTCAACAATATTAAGATTTAAAGTGTCCAAAAAACCACTACTGCTACACTACTTTTGCTGCAGCACTAATACTGCACTGTCTCTGTACTCCCTTAAAACATAAGCCAAGAGTCAACACTTTAACCACCCAGCCGCTGCTTCATTTCAAATCCAGCGTGCAGGAGCTCCGAGCCAACACAGGAAAAAAAAGGAATGAGGCTTCCAAACACTCCTGTGCTACATTGGAAGTTGTCACAGCGAGTCACAAACCAAATGACTCTCATGTTGGCGACTTTGTTCTCGACTTCAAGCCGAGGCTGCAGACAATGGAGACTGGCAGCGAGTCAAACCACGGGAAGACGAACAGAAAGTCAGACGAGGAGAGAACCTTGTGGCAAAAGGAGCTCTAATTAAAAACACTTTGCGTTTTCTTCCTGAATCCGAGGATATGGGATTTGAAACTTGTAGACTGGATCAATATTTCCCCACTGCCACAGGCTACTGGTTTGAATCTCACCTTTTGAAGGTTGAGTTAATTTAGCTGCTGAAGCCACTGATTCCGAGACGGTAAACAACACCACCTCTTCATCGCCCCCGAAGCATTCGCATACTTCAGACGAGAGAAAGAATACTAATCCATTCTTTAGGCCATACGTTGGTTCTTTTTCATCGTCAGGGTGCCGCTGCGTCCTTGAGCTTTCATATCTGTTTACACTTTTATATCACATAAAGCCCTTGTCGCTTTTATACATTTATGACACCTAACAAATAATGAAGCCCTTACAATGTTGTAGGCTGCATTATACAAACAATCAACCAGTCAAAGAGTGAACCACAACGTAAAGTCACAAATCAAAAACATCTTTGTCATTGTGCCATGTTTTGAGTTTCATATTTCCTCAGATATAGATTTTACAGAAGTGTCCTTTTTTAAAGGGAAGCCTGCAAATATCCTGAAAACCTGAAATGTATAGAAATCAGAGATTGATGCGTTAAACTTGAATTATTCAGCAGCTACACTTGTAGCCTTTTGAGAAATAATCTACCGCAAAGAAAATGAGATCAACTGGAATACACACATATACAGAGGATGTATAAAAAGATGAAAAGAGTTTTTATCCTGTGAAGCTGAAAACAAGAAGCCGCACCAGCTTTCAGCAGCAATAGCTCAGATCTCTGCAGAAGGTATTTAGGCAAAGAAAAGCAGCTTAAGTTTTAAATGGAATAAACAAAGATGAAACACGCCCAAACAAGTGAGTGGTCACAACTGCTTTCAAATTAGCAGCTGTGATGTCTACCGGCAACTAATACTTTACAATGCGAGCAGAACAAAAGCACAATACAGGGGAAGAATATGCATAATAACTTGATGTAAGAGCTAAAACATAATAAATGTGCTTTTCCGACCAAATATTCAGTCTGCCCGTCTACCACACCAAGTCTATCCATCCATCTGTCTGTCTCTCTCTCCGTCCTTCAGTCTCTTTCTCTCCCTTCATTCTGCAGGTATCTAATAATCCACAGCTGCAAGATCCAGTACTGATACCACTCAACAATATGATGACCTTATTATTTCTTATCCGCATTATTACTCTCATTGTTTTCAAGTGGGGCTGCTACTATTAAAGCATATATCTTGAAGTATCACTGTTTGAAAGAGCTTGAATATTAAGGTTAGACAACTGTTCCTGCCCAACCCTACTATATGAAGTACCTTGGAAAAATATATATAAGTGTACTGAATTGAAATGTAACCGTATCAGAAAATAACTACGTATTTTTTTGGCCAACCGAAGGGCAGACATGAATCAGTTTTGGCCATTACTGCCATAATACTTACATAATAATGCTACAAATATGCTTTAAAAAAATGGTGTGACTCCGGTTTTACTTGTTTCACATTGTGTGCCAAGTTGTCAGGGTGGTAAGTGAGAAAGTGATTTTTTTCTGATTAAACCGAGGCCGACAGCCCTGCCTGCTCGGCAGCGCTCTGGTCTGAACTTTCAGATGGAATATGCGAAGAGGCAGCGTCTGGCCTTTTCAATTGTGATTCAGCAAGAGATTGACACTACTGGTGGAATACTTCCCACAATTCAGACACTGGCATCTGTGTCTGGATTGTTTTTAACAACTTGTCAAAAAGTTCATGTTTTGTGCTCGCCTTTAGTTTATTAATTGTCCTGTCCAAACGCCTGCCCTTTGTCTCATTATGAAGCACATTCACAGAGGCAGAGAGTGCATCTCCATTGTTCCAGGAGAGCAGCGCGACGGGGTCTGTGTCCTCTGTGGCGATATTTTGACTCCGCTGTCCTCCTGCATCTATAAAACTGTCCTCGCTACAGCATCATTCCCCATTTCACGCTCTCCTGCTGGAGGTCAATCTAGCAGAAAGCATCCACTGACAGGCCCAACGCCACCGAGCTTGGCACAGGCTGTGCCTCTGTATTCTGGGCCGAGGACAATGATAACATTGACTTTTTGTTGAGAATTGCAGTCTGGCCACGGTTTGACAGGGCAGACTGACGTTGGCTACGTCTAAAAGTCTTATTAACAAAGTGTGTGTTGTCAAAAAATAAATACGTATATACATTCATTTCTATCTTCTAACATTTGAATTCATTCCAGAAAAACATTTAGGCTCATTATTTTTTCTCTTTATTCTCCCTCGTGTCTTTTTTCTAAGAA